CTGAGACCATGCAAAAGGAAAGGAAGCTATCTACACGAAACGGCTGAGCTGTCTCCCTTTATTTAAGGAAGATAAATGTTCCTTTCACCAGGTCAACATCAAATGTCCTTTAAAAGCCTTCTCCTTTCTCATAGTCCACATCCAAACATCTTCTAATATTGGCTCATTTTCTTTCCTTAAAATGCACAAACTGTTCTCTGTGCACCCCCAAGTTAACTGCCCCAATTCAGGCCTGCCCTTCTCCAGAGCTCTTTGGTCAGTCTCCTAATTTGGTTTCCTGATCTTACACCCCCCCCCCCCCACTGAATCCAGGCTCAGTTTTCCTGTTGCGAACATCTGCTCACCTCGCATCTTGCTTACTTCTTCCAAAGGTTCCACTGTCCTGAGTTATGGACTCGGTAGCTCAGAGTTCAAAGCCATTCCTACAGACCCCTCTCTACCCCTGTAGTTTCATTTCTACCCATGTACTGTCTCCTCCAGCAGGATGGAGATAAATTATGGTCAGTAAACAAACCCACCCCACCCCCGCCCCCGGCTCTCAGCTAGCCCACGTGCTATTCTTTTGTTTCAGATGTGCAGTGAGGCCCTCTTTCTCCTTTGCTTCCTTTCAAAAACGAATCATCCTTCTAGACTTCAGCATCACCTCCTCTGTGAAGCCCTCCCTGCTCCATGAGAGTCAGGTGCCCTAGGGGCTCCTCACCTTGTGCATTGCTGTTGATTGCCATCAACGCTCATAATGACCAATGGACCCATGTGTGCAAAGCAGAATTGTTCTGTGGAGTTTTTAGGACGGCGACCTCTCTGAAGCAGACTGTCTTCTGAACAGCTTTCAGATGCATGTAAACGGCAAACCTTCCACCTACTCGTGACGAGCTTAACCCTTTGTGCCGCCCAGGGACTCTATTGTAAGCCTACCCACCCTAAATGCAGTACCGGCATACTTGATTGCAATCTCTCCAAAGCTAGCTAAGAAGACAGCCTTCTTCCTTAGCAGTCTGTGACATTCTTGAATATAAGGTTACCACCTTTTTATCAGTAATTTCAGTGTCTGTCACAGAATCTTGGAAATAGTAGGTATTCACAAAAGAGGTTTGTGGAAATAAAATCTGTTCAGAGAACTATTGTCTGAATCTGTTTTGCTGCCTTGACAAATGCAGTTTTCTTTTTCACCAGCAGGTGTCGCACTCGCTCTACAGTTTCAGCCCACATTTGGCTTTTCAGCTTTTCTGTAACATATTAATTGGGCTGTTATGGGAAGGAGATGATAATTTAGGAACTGTTTACAGAATAAAACTGATTTAACCTTCAGTTTTTCTGTGAACATTTTTTTTTCAAACGTAGTGTTCCAACTGAAATTGCCAAAGTAAAAAGAAGGACTTCGAATTTCAAAAGCGATTAGAGTGAAATAAAAAGTCCAGATAAGGCATCAAGTTAAGAACACCGGGGAAACGGGAGGCACAAACCCACACCTGAGAACGGTAACGGCACAGTAATAGCTATAGTCACACAAGGGCTGCTTCCCATCTCACTAGCAAAGCGTCAATTGTGCTTGGAATTTGAGCAAGAACACTCAAAGGGGGGGGCAGGAGGGGACGAAAGAAAACAAACACAAAACAAGGCCCCGAGAAAAATACGCTTTCTTCACCAGTATTCCTTAGCTTAGAAAATCTCAGGATCCTGCCTGAGGACTTAAACCATCAGCCTTTTCACGTTAGCCTGATAACACTTTCACCATCTAAGGACTTGGGGAAATGGAGAAACAAACAGGAAAAACAAAAACAGAACCAGTCAAGAAACTGCCTACAGATGATCAAGGATCTTTCAGGCGTTGAAGACATATAGTGAAGACAATATTACATGTAAGTCAGGGAGGGCGCTGGTACACATCCTTGATACTTGGGGCTCCTCGTAGCAGAGGGGAAAGAGACTTGGATTTACAAGTTCCGGGTTATGTTTCTCCCATACACTTGCTGTGTATGAGATTGTGTGTGTGTGTGTGTGTGTGTGTATGCACACACACACATATAGATATGTATTGGGCTATATATACCAGGGGGCTTTGAGAAGTTCATAGAAAAATGATATTACCCTTTCCTTCTATTTTTCACAAACTTTAAAAAGATTTCCCCCCTTTTTTAATATTAAACACATCTTGAAGGGTGTTGGGAGGATCAAATAAGAAAATGTAAGGATGCGCCAGGCTCTTGAAAGAGCTGTATGAACACAAAGCCTTATTAAGCCTACTGATCTAACATCCCCACCCCCACACCCCCACCCCGCCTTCGAGTGCACTCCGACTCCGGTGACGCCGTAGGGAAGAGGCAAAGGGTCCCTCTGGGTTTCTGAGCCCGTAAGTCTTGAGAGCAGTTCTCTGCAGAGGCACTAGAAGATATCCTCTATTTAGCATCTCTTGATAGAGCCCTGGTAGCATAGTGGTTGCAAGTTGGGTTGCCATCTGAAAGGTCAGCGGTTGGAAACCACTAGCCACTCGGAGGGAGAAAAAGAGATGGGGCTTTTTCTACTCCTGTAAAGAGCAACAGTCTCAGAAACTCATAGGGGCTGTTTCACCCTGCCTTTGCAGGTTTGTTTTGAGCCAGAATCAACTCAATTTAGGTTTGGTCTGGTGTGGCAGGTAGGCAATAAATAACGAGTTGTTTGTTGGGCTGCTAACTGGAGGTCAACAGTTTGAAACCACCAACAGCTTCATGGTAGAAGGTTGAGCCTTTCTGCTTCAGTAAAGGTACAGCGTCAGAAATGCACGCAGCAGTCCTACCGTGCCCCAGACAGTCGCTCTCCTTGAGTCAGAATCAACCAGACGGCTGGGAGTTTGGGTTTAGGGTGGCAGGTGCAGTGCTGGCACTTGACACGGGAGCACTGACTCCCCGTGGGACAGATTCTCTCAAAGGTCCCTAGTCAGGAATTGCAACCACAGCACCTTCGTCCCCCAGTGGATCTCTTTGTTGGTACGGTCACCAGGTGTCAACGAACACGTCTCAGATAAGGAAATGATGGTTGCTAAAACACTGACTGGTCTCCATGAAGGTGAGGCTTTCTCAGAAACGGTGGATTTGATTTCAGCTTGTTGGTGGTAGGAGTGCATTAGAATCAGTGCTTCGGGGAAGCTCTAGATGTATCATACATTGCATTTGCCAAGAAAATTCTGGTGGAAGATTTCTTTAAGGGCAAAAAACATTTAAGAGAATTTATTATCAGATCAAGATCACATACCTCTTATTCTTTTCAGGAGTGTCTATGAGACTTTTTTTTAATTCAAAGATTTATTCTATTTCAAGGTAAAACAAGTCTTGGAAGATGATACCTTGGGACATCAGGAATAACAGCAATTATTGATTGAATAAATTAAGATGATGACCTATCTCTAGAAGCACTAGCAACCTATATTTCTAAAGTTACTGACTCGAATATATGTGTAAAATCTTAAATTGTTTAGTGGTTTGCAGTTTCCATTCCAGAAATAATTGGACTTGGGTAGGCAGCGTCTCCTGGTTTGTGTGGTGTACATACTTTGGGGTGCATTTCAGTGTAGCTCAGTCTTAATGAACATCCCAGGGACTGGGTGAGAAAGAAAGGAAAACACCCAAGCCTTACCCTGGTATCGAGTATGTCCTTCGTCCCACACCAACATCCTCTCCTCTTATTTATCTTTGGCTTTTATGCTGATTGTATTAAGGTACTTACTCTCAAAAGAAACCAAGAAACTTCTTTCTACAAAACAATACTTTCGGAAGTCTGGATCAGGATCACACAAAGGCTGGTAGGATATTAGCAATCTGTGCAATGGATTATCGCTTTTACTTCCACAGATCCCCTGTGCACGTGTGCAAAAGTTCATTATGTCCATGACTGTTGAAGTGAAGCTATTTCCCGTGACTAAAAAGGCAGGTCAAATATTATGTCAACGCTGATTAGTAGCTCTATTCCTTGACAAGGTTACCAGGGCTGCCATTTGATGTTTTGTACAGCCAGGAATTAATGTTGTTCCAGGAGGTAATGGTAATGAACTAAATTGCACATCCACACAGGACACTGGACAGGAGGGCAGTCTTGCACTTTGGTCTTTCTCTGTAATCAGATGCTTTATCAACACAAATCCTGTCTGTCAAGTTCCCCAGATAAGCTGGGTTTATGAATATGGGTTGCCCCTCCTTGTCACGGTAATGAGCTCTGCTCTTGGTGGTCGGTCAGAGAAACCACAGAAAAGCAAAGCAGAGGACCTGTCATGAGAGAGCAGACTACCCCGGCCGTGGGGATTGGTGATGGCTTTTCAACTCCAAGCCATTGATGGTAATTTTTGGTTGCTTGCCTGGTTTGCCTGGGGCAACTAAAAACATCACCCTAGTTTTATTTAGGCTGGTTGTCAGCCTGTGCAGTCATGCCAGATTTGAGAAATGATTGACAACCAGCTACGTATCTTCAGGTCTATGAACCGGAGGGTTCATAGTCATTAGCCCTCTGTCGGTCAGGACGGGTCTGACTCACAGACATTAGTGGAGGCCAGCGGGCTGCTGAGCCGCCAGAGCTCTGGGGAGGAGCAGCAGATTCTCAGCCAGGTGTGCACAATTCGTGCTGCATCATCGAGCCTCCTGGTGTTGAAAAGCTAGCTGGCTTAGCACCTATTAACGACCTTGTGTGACACCCATTTGTGTGTGGAGGTGGTTCAGGCTGGACACCATCTGTCCGGAGCTGGCCAGCCATTTGCTCATGTGGCTGTCTCTCTCGAGTGATAGATTTGTCCTAATAGCTGAGTCTGGAGAGCACTGGCAAAGTCAGTAAGAAGCACAACTGAGCCCTGGTGTGGCTTATAGCATTGCCTCTCAACCTCCCAACGCGTCAAGACTGGCTCTCTGCGATGGGCCTGAAAGCATCCTGTAATTTGGGGGGACACAGCATTATAAAACAGATAATGACAATATCCACATGTCGCCTCTCCTCGGTAACCATCACATGCCGACCTCTGTTCTGTCTCCATTTTTTTTTTAAACGGGAGAGCGCGAACGCAGTCCCCCACTACCACAAATTACGCAGTTGAGTTTCCCACATTTGGGGAAATCGCAGGGGATGGCACATTGGAGTGCAACGGATAAGCCTCGCCCTGGGAAAACCACCTTCGTGGTGTGGTATCTCCCCTGCCAGGTAAGTACTGCACTTTGTTTGAAACACCCCTACACAGTGCCAAAAAATGATTCTGTGCTTATCACCTTTTTTTGTACTTCTTCTCTATTGTGTAATCAAACTTGCATCGAACTTGGAATCCGTAGGAATAAACTCTCATCAGATCAAGCCATCCTTCTCAGAATTAGAAGACTTCTAATCTGCGGTCAATGCCAGAGACCTGTGGGAAACGTTTTAACACAGGCAGTTCTTAGGTGGTCTTCACAGAGCTCTAAAAATTAGATTTTTCACCCCAAACCTCTGGCTGTTTGGCTGCCTGGGGAAAATCAGAAGACGTGTCAATATTAGGCCTGCATTTGTAGATGACAATAAAGAGCTGAACCCCCAAACAGCCACTCACTTAACAGGCCCCAAGCCCACCGGTCTGCTACAAATCTGCTACTTCCACGTGCCTTCAGCTTCCCCTCCTCCTCTGCATGTTTGCCTCCTGGCTTCAGACCGTAAGAAGGAAGAAAAGCAGTCTAGATCGGACGCTTGCTCACAGGGAGGCTTGCCACTCCTCACTGCCACGGAGTCCATTCGGAATCTCGGTCACCCTGTGAGACAGGGGAGAATGGTCCCTGGGCCTTTCTGAGACTGGAACTCCTTATGGGAGCAGAGAGCCCGTCTCCCTCCAGTGCTCCAGACTGTGAACCTGGGGACCACCGCCCAACACATAATCCCTCAGCCACCAGTGCTGCTTGTGGACGTTATTAATGTACTGAGATGGAAGGGGTTCTTTGTGCATTTCTTCTCCTGTTGTCTTTCCAAAGTGTGGTTTTGAGATCTTTCGGGAATAAAAGGTAAAATGAGCCCATCATTAACCATATTTACCTTCTTTATGCCTTTTGCTTGGCTATGTAAGACCTGAACGGAACTTTGAAAATCTCATACTGAGGACTGGATCCAGGACTTTACACGAGTCCACGATCATCTTCCAGGTGAAGGGATTTTCTTCTCGGGCTAGCGGCGGTCCATAGGGGATCGTCACCATCGTCAGTTGCTGTCGCGTCAGAGTAAGACTGTGCCCCAGAGGGCCTTCAAGAGGCCCTTTCTCAGAAGTAGATTGCCAAGTTCTCTTTCCAGGGCCCCTCTTGGTCAACTCTCGTCTTTAACCGTGCGTTTAGGAGATGAGCTTGTTCCCACTTATACCTCCCAGAGCTTCCCACTACCTCTGAAGCATTATACAATTGCCGAGCTTAGAACTTTGTAGAAGCTCTTTCCCTTCATCTCTGGAGCTCTATACAATAATCTCCTCCGGACCATTTCTTACCGCCTCTTCTGGTTTGCATCTATGGGCACAGCACTCTTTACCAGCAAATACTGCCCATTCCCTTGTGGACACGGCTTCTCTGACATGGGTGTCCAGTGTGGCCTACCTCAGAGCTTAGCTGGGATGGGGTTTTCACTTGTTGCTGTGTCCGTCTTGATGTTGCTGTGACATTAACACTCTTTCTTCTTTCCACTGAGCCAAAATTCAGCTTGCAAATTCTTGTCACCTCCCATGGAGCCTCTCGTTTCTTCCATATTTTACTTAAAATCCTTTCAAACAGTGGACAAAACAGATACTTCTCATAGTGGTGTCATGTTTAGTTTAGCATCATTAGTTTTAAAACTGGTTTCTCAGATTAAATGATCTCTCAAGTGCTCACCATTTTAACTGCCTCCTGCACGATGCCAGGTTTTTAACATGTACCTCTGTTACTCTGTGTGATGCACTGCTGTGTTAGTCTGGGTACTTTAGAGAAACAAATCCACAGAAACCCATATATAAGAGAGAGTTTCATATAAAGGTTAAGTGTGCATCAAGAAAACATCCCAACCCAGTGCTGCCCAAGCCCACAAGTCCAACATTAACCCATATGTCCAACACCAATCCACAAAGTCCTCCTCCATCTCACAAAACACACAGTATGACACTGACTGCAGGAGGAAAGCCGAAACCGTGAACGTGTAACCATCTCAGCATTGGCAGGGTCTCCGCACAGCTGCTCCAGCACCCAGGGCAGCATTGGGGCAGGTCCATGCGGCTTCTTAGGGTTGTCTTGCAGGAAGTGACCCTTGCCAGCTGACGCAGGGAACTGGCTACAGCAGCTGGTCCAACCATCACAAAGCAAGGGACCCGAGAACTAGAAAGGCGAGGCTCACTGAGCCGTTTATCCCTCTGTCCTTCATTAACCCCACATGTGTTTATTAGCAAGGTTGGCACAATAAACTAACTACCTCAGGTGTGATTATCCCCAATGAAGCGGAGCAGGCTATTAAGATTGTGTTTTTCTCCCTTACTTTCAGCAGCACTCACAAAGGTAAGCAATAAAACAGTAGGTGTGGTCTTAGTTTCTTAGTGCTTCTGTAACAGAAATACCAGAAGTTTATGATTTTAATGAACAGTGATTTATTTTCTCACAGTTTTAGGAGACTAGAAGTCCAAATTCAGGGTACCTGCTCATCTCTAGAAGAAGTGTGGGGTATCAGTCCCCACAATCGAATGGATCCAAGGGGTGGTTGTGTAATTGAGGGATAAAATTAAAAAGACATCAGACAAGGTAAAGCATGCAAGTGTTCACCTCTGGAATGGCCATGATCTCAAAGTGCTCACCTCTGGAACAGCCGTGGTCTCAGCAACCAGATCTGTGTAGAGAGAGAGAATGTATTTCCAATCAAAGCTTATATACACTCAGCGGGTGTGCAAGCCCCTCTAATTACAGGCAACCGCATATTTCACAGGAAGGGGCTGTACAATAGGCATCCGCACGACGGGAAGGGGACGAGCTAAGTATAGGTACACAATAGCGGGGAGGGGCACTAGGGGCATACACGGGACAGGAAGGCCTACCCGTAGCAAGATAGTAGTCAAGATGGCAGCTTAACCTTGGTTCTCACCGAGTTGCTTGATCTTAGTGTCGTTGGCCTGTCCTTTAGAGGGGAACAATCTATCAGCCTTGTCAGAAGGGAGTGGGCCCTACGTAGGGTGGGACAGACTATAGGGCCTGATCGCTCTAGATGGCTGATAACCTTCAGGCCTCCAAGTCTATGTATAGTCAGCACCTTAGGCTTGGCATCTATTCTGGGGGGACAACCTGGGGGGATAGCTTCTGTTTCCCACAGGGAAGACCCTGTCTGTGATCTCTGGAGGAAAAGTTTTCTCTTTCAAGTTTCTTTCTGTTTTTTTCTGGATCTCTACATGGCATCAGTCTTTCTCTATTTGTGCTTCCTGTTTCCGATGCCCTCCCTGCTCTTTTGATGTACCGAAGTGATTGGTCTAAGTTACAGAGCTTCTGACATTGTCGCCTGTGACGCCATAACATCCGAAGGTCTAGAAAAATTTGGCAACAGGAATGTGCAGCGATCAGAAATTCACTCCAAATCCAACATGTATCGAATAGGATACACAATGCATATTTTGGTGGGGCATAATTCAACCTATAAAACTCTTGCCTCTCAATTTGGGAAATACAGAGACTGATGTACACCTGGAGCTCTAACTCTGTGAGGTGCGCATAATGTCCAAATGTGATTGGATCAGTGCAAAACGGAAACGTGCACAGATATACAGGTGATAAAATATGCTGGGGTCACATTTCTGTTTCACTTGGCGTGCTCTAATATTTCCTTAGGTTAAGTTTGCAAGCAACCAGAACATCCAGCTATGTTTCCCATGTGCATGACTATTCTGCCAGATACCTGGGAATTGTAATCTCACCAATGATTGTGTTCCCGGTTTAACTCTGATGCAGCATGCTAATGTGAACTCACAATATCTTGGTTTGTGTCTCACCTTGTCTGCTTCTTTGCTTAACCCACCCGGTCCCTCTGAGCCTCGAGCTTCCCATCGGTGCCACGAGAAGGCCATAACAGGTCCCCCTAGGAACGGTGAAGATTAAGTAAACTCTCTGTGTTTGTTTAGCAGCGTGGAAATATCAGGTAAGGGCTGTTTCCTTGCCACCTCCTGGATGACACGCTCTATCTGCTGCTAGGCTCATTCCTAAACGTCCTGCAGGGGACAGTATAAGACAGGGGCTGAGGGACACTGCTAAGGAGGTGCCATCACTTGCAAGTGTGTGACTTTGAGTAAATTATTTCAATTCTCTGTTCTTCAGAAGCTTTCTCTGTAAAAGGGATATAGGGGGAAGATAATGGCATTTTCATGTATAATGACACATAACGTTTAAAACATTTAGCATGCAACAAGCACTCAGCAAAATGTATATATATGTATGTAAACCCACTGCTATCGCTGCTCCTCCACCTACTGCTTCTGTCTAGTTTCTGCCTGACTTTGATGGTGGGGCCTATAACCGTTCTCCAGAAGCTCTGGTGACAACAAAGAGCCTTTCAATTAGTCTCTAAAATCAGTAGCTGATTCCCGTCAGGGGAGGTGCAGGGAGGAACAGCCTCAGAGCTCCATTTGACAATCTCTCCCTCCTTAGTTTACTTGGACTCTGTCACTTTCTCAGCAACCCCCAGCTCTTCCTTTCACGGAAGCAGCTTTCCAGGAGCAGCTTCCCTCCGGGGTTCAAGGGTCTTCATTCCCCTGCTGCGCCCTCTACTAACACAGTGGCCAAGCCCTGCTTCTCTGTTGTAACAGCCTGTGTCATGGGGGAGAAGTAAGAGGCTGTCCCTCCCAAACACAGTCACAGCCTGGGAAACTCACGGGGGCAGTTCCACGCGGTCCTAAAGCATCGTGATGAGTCTGCATTGACTAAGGACCACTGTGCAATTCTATGATCACTTTTGTTATCTTAAACTTATTGTCATGAAAACGACTCTATTTTTAACCAGTTCAAATGACAATAGTAATGTTTTCCCATGTGAAAGCCGAGCTCCCTGCATGAAAATGCTCATGTGTCAGGTGCTAGCTGACAATTTAGAAGTCAAAGTCCATCCAGCGGTGCCTCTGAGAAGGGTTTGGCAAGCAACTTCTGGACAAGGCGCCACCGACAACTCCGAGAGGCACAGGTCCGCGGTGATACACGTGCGTGCGATTGAC